AGGAGGAGGATTGGCAATAGATGTTAGCTCAGAGCCAGTCTTCCTCAGCAAAAAGAGGAGGATTAGCAGGGATGCTAGCTCAGGGCTGATCAAAAAAAAAAAAAAAAAAAAAAAAAAAAAGCAAAACTAGTCAGAAAAAAAAAAGAAAGATAAGTCAAACATCAGTAGGACAAATGAACAGTAGGGCTTAAAAATGCATTTTAAGAGATTTAAAAGAAATACACACATGAGTTTAAATTTAAAAGGGAAAGAAGTGGATCCAAGTTATATGAAATAGGATGGCTCCTAAAGAAAAAGGGCTTTAAAATGGGAGGGAATTCTGACAGATCAGTAGCATGGAGAATACAGGTTGGCGTAAAAGGGGGAGTCTTCAATTTTTCCATGTGTCTTAGGCCTTTTCTCCACAACCCTCAGATGGGCCTTCGAGGACAAGATTCCTCAGTCAGTACCTTTAAGGTGCTGCCCCCCTCACCAGCTGGGTTCTTAACTGCAGTGTCTTTCCCCATCTGTTCAATCCTCACTCACCAGGGCACCATCCTCCTGCCATCTTCCTCGAAACCATCCAGGGTTCTTTCCCTTGCTCCAATAAGGAAATCACATCAGGCTTAGGAAGAGAGAGTCCTGTTTATAAGAAAAAGTAATAAGACATAATCATGCTATTCCTGAATTCAAACCCAGTCCTCAAAACACAGGCAACTACCTGAAGGACAAGAGGACGGTGGTAAGGTCTGAAGCCTGGAGAAGATAAAGGTACCACAGAAGCTGCCTGTCTCCTCATCTACAAAACACAAAATAATTCCCTAGGAAATCGGTAGAAATCCACCCCGACAACTGACAGATGCACCCAAAACTTACAAGTTATTTCAGGATAGATATCCTTACCAAGTAAGACCAGGTTGCTGTAGTTCTCCATCATCACATCTCTGTATAAACCCCTCTGAGAAGGGTCCAGGCACTCCCACTCCTCCTGGGAGAAGTCTACAGCCACATCCCTGAACACCACCAACCCCTGAAATGACAAAACCATGTAGCGCTGTTGAAATTAAACGAAACGTTTTTCAGATGAAAGAAGAGATGGAAAAGGACACTGAGGGATGGAGAAAATACACCGAGCAAATGGGCTAGGCCCAGGATGGGGCAGAGTAAAAAAATCAGTGTGACTGGAACAAAGTACCTCCATCTTCTTGAATATTCCTGTTGCTGCAGGCAACCTCCTTCATACAATGAGACATTCCCATTATCCCATGGCTAGGGCTAGGAATGAATAAAACACACATTTACTTGTAGTTTCCCAAATAAATGAAATAGAGCAGAAAAACACACAGCAACATGTAAGCCTGGCAAATTACTATTTATTTTAATGATCATCTATGACTTACCAATATTTTTATTGCGGAAATTTTCAAACATACAGCAAAGTTGAAAGAATTTTATAGTGAACATGACATGCTAATTACTACTTACAGTAAACTCTTAATATGAGCTCCTCCCCTCCCTTTTTTTTTCCTTACTTCTTAAAGGAAGAAGACAAAATCTTTCTAAAATATTTAACAAATAAACAAGCAAAACCTCTATCACACACAATAGGACTTTGATATAATTAAGATATATATCAAATACTAAGGATCTTCACTGTTAGACAAAATCATAAGTATTTTTCCTAATAATGAATGTTCTTTAGTAAACTTTTTTGAACTGGCTGTATCTTTCATCTTAGGAAGGCAAGGCATAACCATTCCATTATTTTGGATATTTAGATTGAACAAGATCTCTGAGTTCCTCTACAGCTTTTAAAATTTACAAATTTTCATGCAAATTCTCAAAAACTTATGCATCTGGCTAATCATACTTGTTAAAAAGTCAAAACTGTAGAAAACCTAACAGTATATTGTTTAGGGATATACAGTAAAACAATTATCAAAAGCAAGAGAATGATGCCTACAAAATTTTCTTCACAGGTTACCCTTTGAGGGAGGGCAGGGTGCAAAGGGTCTTGTTAGGGACATCAGTGTTCTATTATTCTTTTGTAATATGAAATACTTCATACTGTTTTTAAAGGGGGAACTCAAAAATTAAGGAAAAATAAACAGGCTTGTGAAGATCAGTTGTGCCACTCAACAATCATTTCCTCTTCATTAAACCGTAATTCTGATAAGGGAGACTCTAATCTTTCCCTCACTGGAATGTATTTAGGCTCCATCATAGAGCACTGCACACAACTGTGAACACTGGTAGAGTGGGACACGAAGGGACAAGACCATGCTGCTGGGCATCATTACTCACTCCCTGACAGAATGGGAGGGTTCATGGATGGAGCTCAGTTGGACAAGAAAGTTTCCAGATAAAGAAAATAAATGTTCATGCAAATGAAAAAAACCAAGACACTATATTTCAATAAAATACATAAGTCATGGGGAAATAATATACAGTATGGTGACTGTAGTTAATAATACTGTATTGCATATTTGAAAGTTGCTAGAAGAGTAGATCCTAAAAGTTCTCGTCACAAGAAAAAAAAATTGTAACTATGTGATGGATGTTAACTAGACTTACTGTGGTGATCATTTTACAATATATACGAATATCTAATCATGTTGTACACCTGAAACTATATGTCAATTATACCTCGATAAAAAAAAATAGTTAAAAAAAAGACACTGTAGGAGAGAAGTCAAGATGGCGGCATAGGTGGACTCTGAACTCACCTCCTCCTGTGGACACAGCCAATTTACAACTACTCTTGGAACAATTACCCCTCAGAGAGAACTAAAAACTGGATAAGAGGAACTCCTGCAACAAACGACAATCCTAATTGAGGTGGAAGAGGCAGAAACTCCCTTCTGGAGAGAAAAAACACCACCTCCACAAGCTGCAGCGCCTCACAGCCGCCCAGGAGCAGCCCACAGGTACGCAGCCCTCCCTGGAGGAGCGGGGCCCTGAGCTGGGGAGCGCTCCCGCTGTGGGCATTTTTTGGACCCAGCACAATCGAGAGGAGTGGCATAATATCTGACTTTGCTTGGGACTAAAACATTGGGGAGTACCCCCAGAAAAGCTGGTTCACAAAGAAATTAAAGCCAGTTCTTAAAGGGCCCACGCACAAACTCACTTGTTTCGGAAAACAACCTAAAATCACCAGAAAGAAAGGTGCACAGTGCTTTGGTGAAAAGAGACTCACCTGATAGGCTCTGAGTGCATCTTGGTGAGGGGTAAGACCTCTCCAGGGACTGGGAGAGTGGCGGCGGCCATTGTTGTCGCCTGGTGTGGGTGTGCTGACACAGACACTGGCAGACACCATTGGAGTTCTCCCTGGGGCCTGCTAGCCCAGGGTCTTCCCCACCCACCAGAGCACCGATTTAATCCAGCTCAGCCAGAGCAGGCAGCCCATGCTAGGGACTGGCTCCACCCAACAACAAGCCCTCAGGCAACTTGTGGGCCTGCTAATAAGCTGCCTGGATTCTCTTCAGCCTGGCAAGTGGGCCCACCTCTGTGGGGCAGGGCGTGAGCAAGGAGCGGGTAGAGAGTGTGGGGAGGTGGTGGAGTGTGTGGGGCTCCCGCCTTGGAGAGACTGGGTCCACTTCAGACGGTCAGGGCACGCATGGGGCAGGACTGTGTTGACTGTGTGTGTGGACCTGTGGGCGGCAGGGCTTGTCAGCTGCAGAACACTTGTGCTTCTCAAAGAGCCACATAGGGGGTTGGCACCACCTTCCAAAGCCTGAAACAACTGGGTACTCCCATGCCTGAGGCCAGCCCCAACCAGCTGCAATCCTCAGAGAGCTGACAAGAGACCTAAAGGCTGGAGGCTTATAGCAATTGTAAGCCCCTGAGGCTAACAACCTGCTAAATACTGCAACAGGAATGTGCTATTAGAACTTGCAGCCAACTGTGCTGGGGCTCCCCACACCCAATAGAGACTGAAGGGCCCATGACAACTACAAGCAGCTGAGCATTACAACAGTTGGCCAGGGGCATAGCTCAGCCTCCCTGGGCACCTATGGGAAGAGGAACCACGCCACAACAGAAGGACACACATAGCCCACAGAGGGGTCACCCCTGGAACATTCAGAACTGAGGGAAGCACACTGCAGGCCTCATAAGGGATCACTTATACAAGGTCAACTCTCTGAGAGCAGGAGACTTAGCCGACCTACCTAATACACAGACACAAGCACAGGGAAAGAGGCAAAATGAGGAGGTAAAGGAATACGTTCCAAGTAAGGGAACAGGACAAAACCCCAGAAAAGGAACTAAGTTAAACAGAAATGAGCAACCTACCTGACAGAGAGTTCAAACAAAGTGTCAGGGATGCTCACTGATCTTGGGAGAAGAATGGATGAACTCAGTGAGAATGTCAACAAAGAAATGCAAGATATAAAAAAGAACCAATCAGGGCCAGCCCCGTGGCTTAGCAGTTAAGTGCGCACGCTCCGCTACTGGTGGCCCAGGTTCAGATCCTGGGCGCGCACCGACACACTGCTTCTCTGGCCATGCTGAGGCCACGTCCCACATACAGCAACTAGAAGGCTGTGCAACTATGACATACAGCAACTAGAAGGCTGTGCAACTATGACATACAACTATCTACTGGGGCTTTGGGGAAAAAAAAAGGAGAAGGATTGGCAATAGATGTTAGCTCAGAGCCAGCCTTCCTCAGCAAAAAAGAGGAGGATTAGCATGGATGTTAGCTCAGAGCTGATCTTCCTCACAAAAAAAAAAAGAACCAATCAGAAATGAAGAATACAATACTGGAAACGAAAAATTCACTAGAGGGACTCAAAAGCAGAGTACAGGACACCCAAAGAACGCATTTGCAAGCTGGATGAAAGACCAGAAGAAATCACCCAAGCAGAACAGATAAAAGAAAAATGAATTAAAAAGAGTGAGGACAGTCTAAGAACCTCTGGGACAACATCAAGCACACTAACATCAGTGTTATAGGTGTCCCAGAAGGACAAGAGTGAGACAAAAGGGCAGAGAATCTATTTGATGAAATAATAGCTGAAAATGTCCCTGACCTAAGGAAGGAAATAGACATCCAGGTACACAAAGCACAGTGAGCACCAAACAAGATAAACCCAAAGAGGCCCACACCAAGACACATCATAATTAAAATGTCCAGAATTAAAGATAAAGAGAGAATCCTAAGAGCCTCAAGAGAAAGACAAGTTACGTACAAAGGAAACCCCATAAGGCTATCAGCTGACTTCTCAGCAGAAACCTTACAGGCTAGAAGAGAATGGCACGATATATTTAAAGTGCTAAAAGGA